GCCAGCTCGTCGAGGCGGCCGTGCGGCGGCGCGGGAGGGGGTGGAGGCGGTGTCATGTCGACATCGCTGCTGCTGCCGCCGCCGCCGCTGCTGCCGGCAGCGCTGCTGCTGCTGCTGCCACCGCCGCCGCCCTCGCTGCGTCGGATGTCCGCAGCGAAGCCCGCCTCGAGGCTCTGCTTCAGTCGATCGCGAGTGCGACTGACCCCTTCGGCTGCAACTGCATCGCCAAACCTCTTATTGACGCTCCGCAATGCGGTGGTCAGCAGTGACGCGTGAGGGAGGAAACGCAGTATGCGGAGCAGGCAGTCGTCCGGTAGCGTTGTCAGGAGGTCCTCGCCTTCTTCCATTTCGTCGTCCTCGTCTGAAGCCATGCAGGCCTCGAGCGCAGCGGCAAAGTCGTCATCGTCGGAGGGCTGGCCGGCGCCCTCGGCGCCCTCTCTGTTTGGTTCGGACATCTGCAGACAAGCGGCTGCGCGTCTGCAGGAGTCAATCGACAGCCCGCGCCGCCGGGAAACTCGAAGTCGAGGGGAAAGAAATGGCCCACCCAAGAGCACCTCATCCCCCTCAACAGTCCACCCTCAGCAGTCCAATATCTGTGTACTAGTGTGGGACCTGCAGCGGGTCCCCGCCTTTTTCTCCTGGCACACAGGTACTCACTTATCCCTTATCCCCTCCACCGACGTTCGAGAGTGCTGCAAACGGCATCGGATTTACCTCGCTCGTAACATTTTCGCAATTAATAATTCGTAATGGCTAATGCAAAGCTCTTCCGATGTTCCATTCCAACCAGACTCGAGTCCCAGGCATCATCCACAGTCTCAAAGGGGGTCGGTGCTTGATCCGGCGCCCGACGCCCGGCGTTGCGAGGCACGCGGTGTGCCCGACGGGTTCGCGCGGTCGCGGCGAAGGCTAAAGAGGCGGTCCTTCAAGCGCTGGAATGCCTCGTTCTGCTTTCGTGTCGAGCCCTCCAGCTCGCCGCCACCGCCGTGGTCGCGGAACCACCGCGCACGCTCTTGCAGAAACTTGTCCTCAATGTCAAAGTCCGTGGCTACCGGTGCGGGCGAGAGCGGGCGTTGCATTTGCTGCTGTCGGCTGAATGATGCGATGGTCCACTCGCAAGTCACTGGCACCGTCGCGCCTCTCGGCACCTCGTCCCAAGGCCGGCCATAAAATAAGGAGATGCGCCCCTGCAACTCCAGCGCGCGTTCCTGGTCGAGTTCATATGCGTCGCTGTCGTCAGGCGCCTCCTCGCGTGGCCGCCTCACTGGCGAGTCCGGGTGGGAGAAGTAACAGTCATCCCCGTAGGCGGGCGAGCCAGGCGGTGTCGGACCTCCACCGCCTGGAGCAAGCTGCGCCTCGAGCCATGCCTGTGACGCCTCTGAACCCGGGTCGCGCAGGTATGCATCGGCCTCAGCAGCATCGCCCGTGTAAGCTTGTACACGGCGGTTGCGAAAGTTGGCAATGCTGCCACGGGTGGAGAGGCGCCAATCACCAGTCTCAGAATCTTGCACCCAAATTTTCTCTGAAGCGTGTGCGAGGTCGTCTTGCTTCTCTCGCTCAATCCGCTTGGCACGCTCGAGTTTAGCCCGCTCCTCATGCCGATCGGCCTCGACGCCATCCCAGCCCTCCGGCACCCAATCCCCGCCTGATGGCTGCCCGTCGTTGTCGCGCGGCTCCAAAAGCGCCTCGTCGAAGTAGTCGCAGGTGACTCCGGGCACGTCTGGGGCGATGCCTACACCGTCGTAGGTGCACGTGCACGCACCCTCGCACATGCAACCGTCCAAGTACTCGAGCCGGGCGCGCTCGTACGCTTCGGAGGCGCGCCACTCGGTGATGCGTTCACCGTTGATCGGCTGTCCAGCTTGCTGTGGGTCGAGCAGCCAGTCGCGGAAGTCCTCAACCTCCGCCACGCCGAGAGCTGCCTCCGACGCGACCTTTGCCACCGCAGCGTCAAAGGTGATCGGTGCTGGCTGTGATTTCCCACGCTGCTCATGGCGGCGTCGCCGCTGATCGGTCATTCGTTTCGCCGCCCGCTCCCCTAGCTTGCGACATGGCGGCGGCCCTTCGCTTTGCGCCGCTTGCAAGCCCAGCGGTGATCTGGTGATGCTGCGCTGTCGGCTGCGCTTGCCGGATGACTCCCGCACGACGCCTTCCTGCGTGGTCGCCTTCCTGCGTGGTCGCCTGCGTCGCATCCTCGTCGTCGGTGGCCGGTGGCGGTTCGCGCTCTCGCTCCTTGCCCCCCATGCGCGCCGTGGCTCCCGAGCTGAGGCCGACGATTTGCGGCGGGACGGCCGAGTTTGAATGAGCTGGTTCGCGGCTTCAAGAGCGGTCGGCGCTCCGGCACAAGAGACTTATAAGGGTAGATTGCGGCCTGAGGATAGGTAGGTATAGGTGAACGACCCAAATCTGGGTCGGAGCGGAACCCTGCGATCCGATGCTAAAGTTGACTCTAGCAACGTCACCACGCCTGCGTGCGACGCCGCACGCCGATGCTAAAGTTGACTCTAGCAACGTCACCACGCCTGCGTGCGACGCCGCACGCCGATGCTAAAGCGTTACACGCCTGCGTGCGGCGCCGCACGCCGATGCTAAAGTTGACTCTAGCAACGTCACACGCCTGCGTGCGACGCCGCACGCCGATGCTAAAGTTGACTCTAGCAACGTCACCACGCCTGCGTGCGGCGCCGCACGCCGATGCTAAAGTTGACTCTAGCAACGTCACCACGCCTGCGTGCGGCGCCGCACGCCGATGCTAGAGTTGTCTCTAGCAACGTCACCACGCCTGCGTGCGACGCCGCACGCCGATGCTAAAGTTGACTCTAGCAACGTCACACGCCTGCGTGCGGCGCCGCACGCCGATGCTAAAGTTGACTCTAGCAACGTCACACGCCTGCGTGCGGCGCCGCACGCCGATGCTAGAGTTGTCTCTAGCAACGTCACACGCCTGCGTGCGGCGCCGCACGCCGATGCTAAAGTTGACTCTAGCAACGTCTCGCGCTGGTCTCGCGCTGGCGACGGTTGGTCCACGCCGATGCCAAGGCTGCTACAGGGGCCAAAGTTTCAATGTACTTTGGCTAGGGCCAAAGTTCCAATGTACTTTGGCCAGGGACCCAGGGGTACGTAGGTACTACGTACGCAGGAGAGTCCAAAAATGGCGTCCGTTTTGGCTGCCGGACGTGCGGTTGAGCGTTAACGACACCGCAACACAGTGGCACGTCGTCCCACATAAGGCGTCGCGGGACACACAATCAGACACACACACTCAGTGCTACTATATACGCCTCCGCCCGCTCGCCTCTCAGGCGCCATCTGCGTCCCGGACGCGGGCAGCATCGTCCTCGGTGATGAACCCCGTATGGACGAGGTGGCCCAGAGCGCACTTGTGATGGACCCACTTGCCCGCCCACGGGCCAACCTTGGGCTTGACGATGCGTTGCCCGGGCAGAATCCTGGCGCCGCACAGGTGGCAAAGTGATGGAAGGCGAGCGGTCGTCGCGTTTGCGATGTGAAGGCAGTTGCGGGCCCAGTGGTCGGTCTGCCCGCAGCGGTGGCAAGGCCAGGCGCCAGTTGTGGGGTTGCCGCCGGCAGGGGTCGGCGGTGTGATGATGCTCGCGTACCCGTCGCGAGGGAGGCCTGTGACCTGCGTCCTTGCAAACTTGGGTGCGGCCGCCTCCATCGTTGCTTGGTCAAGGTGGCGCTTGGGCGCGCTGTCGTCCACGGCCACCGCGTGCATCTGGGCCTCGTCGTGGGAGCGTGCAAAGTCGGCGGCCGCTGCCGCTCCGCTGTTTGGCACAACGACCGGGCCAAGAGTGTTGTTCAACAGTGCCTCCTCGTCCAGCTCGTCGTCGTCCGCCATGGGCTCTGATGACGACGTAAAAAGTTTGGGCGTACAAGAGTTTCAAAGCCGGCGCCCCGTTGGTGTCGGCGCTGGTAAAACGTACGCGAGAGTTCTCGTTTTCCGTACGCTGCGATGCTGCTGGGCACCCGCCACGAGGTCGTGCCTGGGTCCTCGTGGGGGGTCCTCGTGGGGGGTCCTCGTGGGGTTTTAGGTATGTTGTTGTGGGGGGTCCTCGTGGGGGGCCCTCGTGGGGGGCCCTCGTAGAGGGTCTTCTCACCTGATGGGGGATCCGGGGAGGAAACGCAGGAGCCCGCCCCCCGCCCCAAGGCCTCGCAACGATTGCCGTGTTGCGCTGCGTTGCCTTCGCGCACTTCCCTGTACCAGCAGCCTGTTCCGGCGGCCGACCGAGCCCTGTCCTCCCACTCTACCGACAGCGCTCCTCCTTCCGCCGATGCGCCTGCTCTACGCGCTGCTTCCCACGCTCACCGCCGCCGTCAGCGTGGGCGCTACAATAACTGCTGCAGCTGCCGCCCGCCCGACCCGCCTAGGTTGGAAGGAGATGAGGAGCGATGGAACAGCCCGAGGTGCGAGGAAAGAAAGGAGCGGCGCAGCTGCCGAGTACACGCCCCTTCCAACAGCCGTGGCTAGGCTGGACGCGCCTCGCCTCTCTGAGCAGCCAGAGAAGCGGCGAGGGCGCTTGCGTGGCGCGTGGTCGCGGTATGTGCTGCTCCGCGATGAGTGGAGCATGGATGAGTTGCGCAACGCGACACGGCTCCGCACCGCACGGCAGTGGACCTGGGAGGAGCGGACGCCCGGGACCGCACGCACGATCATCCTATCCTCGTGCTTTGTGCTCCTGGCAGCGATCCCGGCGATACTCTCCAACCCTGCAGTGCTGCCAAAGATTCTGGAGCTAGCCGCGCTGAGTCGCGAAGGCATCAATCCGTTCGATCTCTGGCAAGAGACGGGAATCAACCCCTTTGCCCTATGAGATCAAACATTCACCATCTCTGCGGCTTCTTTTCGTGCGATTTGTTTTTCCGTGCGTGCGTGAAATTCCTGTATCTGTGTGTGTCGTGCTGCGTGTGCGTGCTGTGTCCGCGGGCTAGGGCCACCGCGTCGTGTCCAGGTGTGCGTGTGGGCGAGATTGGTCCGAGACATCTCAAACAGACCTGAGGTATCCGGAACGATGCCGCGCCCCGCCGCGCCCCGCGGCCCCCCGCGCCCATATGCCGGCGGACCACGGACACAGACCGACCGCGCTGCGCACACGGGTGGGAGGCGAGCGCGCGCCTCTGCTAAGCTGCTCTCAATATGTCTCTCTCTCTCTCTCTCTCTCAAAATACAAAAAACATTTCCGCGGAGTTCCGTCTCTCAATAAAAAAAAGACACGCACCACGCCGCACGGCGCCGGTGTGGCGGTGCGGCTGTGGCCTGTGCGCGGGCGCAACCGACACACACATACACATACACAAATGCACACGTAACGTAAGACGGAGCGCGAGAGAATCGCTCGCAAGCTGAGCTGTTCTCACTACCGCGGGCTGGCGAGCACATGTCCGAACCAGGCGGCCTTCCAGCGCGCCGCGCCCGCCGCCTTTTTGGCGGAGGCCGCCCCCCCTCGTGTGGCGAGCACCGCCTCGCCGAAGGCGGCGGCGACCCTCGCCTGCAGCGCCGCAGCTGCGCCCGCAGACTCCGGCTCCTGCTCGACGCCCGCGGCGGCGGCCGCCGCCGCCTTTGCGGCGGCTGCGACTCCCGCGTACCCGACGAGGACGCGGCGGAGGAAGAGCGTGAGTGCGCGGAAGACGGCGAGGTGCGCCGGGGGGAGGCGCGCCACGAGGGCGACGGCGGCGGGCGCGTGGGAGGCGGCTTGCTCGGCGGCGGCGTGCAGCGGCTGAGGAACGAGCGGCTCGGCGAGGCATCGCACCCAGCGCAGCAGCACGGCGGCGACAGCTGAGGTCGGCACGGGTGGCATGGGCGTCCCCTCGTCGGCGGCGCGGAGGACGGCGCTCTCGTCGGCGCTCCAGCCAAGCGGGTGGCGGAACCACGTCTCGATCTCGACGGCGCTCGTGCGAGCCAGCTCCGCCGCCCCGTGGCAGGCGCCTGCGCCGCCGTGCGCCGCAGCGTCGAGCGCCGCCTCCGCCACGTTGTGCGCGTGGCTCAGCACAGCGTCGAGCGTCGAGACGAGGAGCAAGAACTCGAACGGCAGGCTGGGCAGCGCAGACGCCGGGGCGGGCGCTGAAGACGCCCCCGCGGCTGCTGCCGGCGGCGGGGGCGGCGGCGGCGGCGGCGGCGGGGGCGGTGCGTCCGGCGTCGCCTCCGGCTCCTCCTGCCCGTCCGGCGCAACCTCCTCCCCATCCTCCACCACCGCCTCCGCCGCCTCCGCCGCTGTAGCGGCCTCTCCTCCCGCCGCCGCTGCACGGTCGCCCTCTCCTCCTCCCTCCCCCCCTCCCCGCCGTTCCGGTCGCGCCGGCGGTCCCTCCCCTGCGGGTGGCGCGGCGCGGATGGGCTCGCCGGCGCGTGCGCGCGACTCGAGCCTCACGCCGATGCAAGTTGGCTGCCACTGCGCCGAGACAGAGAGGACGATGTCGCGCCTGCGGGACGTGTACGTGTGATGGACGTGTGCATGTGCGTGCGCGTGCCCCGGTCTCGGGACGGGACGGGGAGGACGAGGTCGCGCCCGTTCTTGAGCCGGAGCAGCGCGAACGTCTCGAGCGGCTCGCCGGCGTTGAAGGGTGCGGCCTCGGAGGCGCGCACGAGCAGCGTGACGGTGAGGCTGACCTTCTCGCCGGGCAAGAGCAGCCCCGCCGCGGGCGACACCGAGAGCCAGCGCGGGGGCGCCGCCTGTAGGAAGGTTCCGAGAAGGTTCATGGAAGGTTCCTGCAGCACCGAGAGCCAGGGGGGCGCCGCCTCGTCGGTCGGCTGGTCGAGGAGGCGGTACTGCAGCGCCGTCTGGCCAGTGTTGGAGAGGAGAGCGGGCAAGCGGGCGGGCGTGCCGAGCGAGACGAGTCCTGCGGGACGTGTCCAGGACACGTCACGGACACGTCACGGACACGTCACGGACATGTCACGGACACGTCACGGACATGTCCCGGACATGTCCCGGACATATGCCGAGGCGTGCGACGCCAAGAGGAGAGGTCCCGACGGCTCGAGAGGGGGGAGCTACATCTCGGCTGCATCTCGGCCACATCTCGGCTGCATCTCGGCTACATCTCGCCAAAGGAGAGGTCCCACGGCGCGAGGGTGGCGGAGGGGAGGCACTCGTTCTCCCACGTGTCGAGCGTGCGGCACACCTCGCCGTGCACCGCCAGCCGCCGCTCCTCGTCCGCCACGGCCACCGGCAGGGCGAGCGCGGCCGACACGGGGCGATGGTCCGAGAGGCGCAGCTCGTGCCTGGCGAAGCCACGCGGGCGGGGGGTGGGGCGTGGCGGGCGGGGCGTGGCGGGCGGGCAGAGCCGCGTCGGGAGAGGCGGGGCCGGCCGCGCACCGGCCGTACTCGAGGCAGCACGACGGCTCCGCGGGGCAGGCGCGCGAGGAGGGCCCGCCCGCGCCCGCGTCCGCGCACTCCCTCCACAGTATGCGGTCGCACCAGGCGGGCGCGCGCCGCTTCTCGGACGAGTCGTACTCGTCCGAGCCGGGGTCGTACTTGTACGTCGGCAAAAAGGAGACGGCGCCCTCGCGGTACCTGGCGCGGGGCTCCGGGCAGGCTGCGACGCGCTGCTCGAGCAGCGAGGGCAGACGTGGCAGGGGTCGCACCCTTGGAAGGCGGCGCCGGAGCCGATGGCGGACCGGAGCTGGTCGGCGGCGAGCAGTTCGCCGACGCGGCCCGCCTATCGCGCAGTAGCAAGCCCCTCCTGCGCCGCCACTCGAGAGGGGCGAGGGGCTCGGCAGCGTGGCCGCGCCGCGACGAGGGAGCGAGTGATCTCGTCGTCGACCTCGAGGCGGTAGTTGAGGTCGCCGAGCCAGATGACGTAGTCGTGGTCCTCGAGCGACAGCCCGCCTACCGCCCGCCAACCATCCCTCGTCACAGACGCACCCCTCGCACCCGCGCCTCCTCGCCAGACGGCCCGCCGCTATCGAGCCCGGCCGGGCCGCCCGCCGCCTCGGCGGCTGCGAGGGCGGCGCGGTCGGCGCGGTGCGCGGGCGAGAGGGAGGCGAAGCGCGCGGCGATCTGCGCGAACTCGCCGTTCCGCCCCTCCGCCGCCCCCGGCGAGTGGCCCGCCGCCAGATGGCAGTTGACGATTGCAAAGCTGGACGCGTGCAGCGTGAGCGAGGCGCCGACCGCGCCCTTGTTGCCGAGCAGGCCCAGCGCACCGGTGCCGACGGCGTCCGAGGCGACGCGGCCGACAAAGGGCGCCAGGTCGGCGCGCACGTACACCAGCAGCAGCATCCCCACCAGCTGCCGCGCCACGAGCCGCACGTACTCGTCTGCGCCGAACGCCGCAGTCACGTGCGCCTCCCACGCCGCCGCGGCAGAGGAGAGCGCGCCGCCCGAGCCAGCCTCGAGGCGGACGACGTTGCCGGCCGAGAGGTCGACCACCTCCTGCAGCCCCACCACATGCACATCGCACTGCCGCTCCGCCGCGCCGCCGCGGAGCAGCCAGCACGGGTCGAGCGTCTCGGGCACCAGGCCCGACGAAGTGGCGGGAGGCGGGCGCTTGCCGCCGACGTTCCAGGTGGAGACGCCAAACGTGAGCGGCCGGCGGGTCGTGTAGTCGTCGCGCCGCAGCGCCATGTGCCGCTGGACCCACAGCTCGCGCACCTCTCCAAAGGCGCCGGGGTCGTATTCGTGGCTGCCGTCGGCTGCCTGGGAAGAGGTGGCATTTTCGTACAGACCCTTGGCCAGGTCGCGGCCACGCGAGAAGAGGCCCTTGGCGCGGCTGCGGAGCGAGCTCCTGCCCTTGTCGGTGTTCATGAATATGCGAAGTCTCGCCAAACGAAAGAATTTTAGCGAGGAGACGCTTAGAGACCGAAAGGGAGTGAATCGCATGCTCACCTGGAGCGAATTCACTTTTGAACGTGCGGGCGGCACGGCTGTCTGTTTACAGGCGCTGGCCGCCCGCGCGCGCCGGACCGGCTCCGGCACGTTCGGCGCTGGGCGGCGCGCGTCCACACTGCGCGGCGCGCAAAATGCGACGCAGCGAGCGCTCTGCTGCTACGGCGGCGGCGGCGGCGGCCGTCGGCCAAAAGGCAGACGGCAGACGGCAGACGGCAGACGGCAACGGCTCGGCTTGCGCTTGGTGCGGACGCGCACACGCGCGCGCGCCGCGCGTCGCTCCGCGAGGGCGCGCGCCAAAACCACGATTCGAACTGGTGCCAAAAGGCGCCGGAGCGAACCGCGGTCCGGTCGCGCCACCGCGGCTGCGGGGTTGATAGAGCATGCCGGCTGCACCTCCTCATGTACCTCCGCTTTCGGGTGGAGGCGCACGCGCTGCCGTGACGGCGCTCGCCGGCGTTTGCGGCGCTATGGCGCTCGCGGCGCGCTCGTGGCGTTCAGGGCGGCTCGCACAGCGCCCACCCACGCACACACGCACGCACGCACGCACGCACGCACGCACGCACGCACACACACACACACACACACACACACACACACACACACACACACACATGCATGCATGCATGCACAGACACACAGCCCATTCCCCTTCCCCCTCAAGACCCTCAAGGACGAGGACACACACAGGACGCACCTCTAGCGAGGCCCGCATAGCAATGGAGTTGGGAGTCCACCGTGCACCGCGCTGCGAGCCTGTCGTGTCCCTTGTCAGGAGCAGGAGAGCCCCACCTGTGCCCCTGATCGTCCTTCCAAAATCCTGCTCGTGCAGGTGTGGACCCTGTCCTCCTCCCCTATCTCCCTCGTTTGGGTGCACTTGGAGCACTTGGAGTGCAGTCGGTAGCCTCACATCCAGGGCCGGGGAGCTACGCACCCAGCGCAGCGGGCCGGATGATCGGGATCGGGTTACGGGCTAGAGAGCCCTAGCCCTGGGGGGTGCGCGTTCGCCGGGAAAGGGCCGCAGAGTAAACACGGGTCTCCGAGGGTTAGCTCTGCGCTCCGGGTTTCCCCTAGCAGCGGAACGCCCCCTCTACTCGGAGCTAGTAGACACCAGAAACTGGCACGACAACACACACACTGGTCACTCCTCCCTGACATCATCGCTTGGAACCCGTCAGGAAAGTGGCCCCTTCGATATGTCACACGTCTGAGCGCGGTATGTAGCGGTCCCGGTATGTAGCGCGAACCCCGCTACATATCGTCCGGTGTTATGTAACGGTCCGGGGCGCCTATTCGCGGTATGTATCGCGACCGCTACATATCACCTCCGGGGAGCTATATAACGGCCGAGACGTCTGCCCCTTTTTTGTGGGGCCCCTTTCTCAGGAAAACAGAGCCGGGCAAAAGACACACACGCCCTCGCTCGCTCCCCCCTCCCTTGACCAGACAGCGAAAACGAGACCGTACAGTGCCCTGTGCACGTACGGGCGCGCCTCTGGGCGAAGCCCAGGGTAGATGCGTCTCGAGAAAGCAGCGTGGTGTGCCTCCTCGCCTCGCGTTCGCTGTGTCTGTTTTCAAAAAAAAGTAAAGACAAGAGAGGGGTAGGGAGGCGGGAGAAGCCAAAAAAGCCGTCCCAAAAGCCACAAAAAGCCAGCGAAGCTCCCGTTACGCGATTGCTCGCGAAGCGCAGCATGATGCGTGGCCAGCGTGGGAGGATGCCGCCGCTGTCAGAGGAGAAAGACGCATTCAAGGCGCCGGAGCGAATCGCGGTCCGGTCGCGCCACCGCGGCTGCGGGGTTGATAGAGCATGCCGGCTGCACCTCTTCATGTACCTCCGCTTTCGGGTGGAGGCGCACGCGCTGCTGACGGCGCTCGCCGGCGTTTGCGGCGCTATGTATGGCGCTCGCGGCGCGCTCGTGGCGTTCAGGGCGGCTCGCACAGCGCCCACACACGCACACACGCACGCACGCACGCACGCACGCACGCACGCACGCACACACACACACACACACACACACACACACACACACACACAAACAACACACACACACACACACACACACACACACACACACACAACAACAAACGTGTGAGTGTTAGAGTTGTTTGGTATTGCTAAAAATCTCTCTCACACACACACACACACGCCCACCCAGACCCCAGAGAGCTCCATCGTCCTAACACCCCAGAAAGCCCGAGGAACCGTGCAGCGCGTAGATATATGTCTGTGTGCTGTCTGCTGTGTGGTGCACGCCCTTCCTGCGGCGAGGTCTTCTCTGAAAAGGAAGAAAAACCCGGCCCCCAGCCTCGCAACGCAGCCCGGGCCCAGAGCCACAGCCGTCAGCACAGCCGTCAGCTTGCGGCGCCGGCCAGCTTTCACTCACATGGCGCTCTCGGCAACGCTGTGGGCCCTGGCGCTCTCCACCAGAACGGCTCGCAGCCTCCGCACGGCGGCTCGCCCCTGCCTCCTCCGCGCGAGCCCGGCTCCTCGGCTGGCGCTGCCGCTCGAGCTGCCCGACGGCGGACTCAGCCTCGAGCGGAAGCTGGGCGAGGGCTCCTTTGCGGAGGTCGTCGCCGGCGGCGGCGGCGCCGAGGCGGTGCTGAGCGGGCGCAGCGGCGCCCGCGTGACTCCGGCACGGGTGCGCGTCGGGCTCTTTTACGGGCAAGTGACGCGCGGCAACGCGGCGGGCGCGCGTGTGCTGGTCAAGGCGTACTCGCCGTACGGGCAGCCTCCGTGGGCCGAGGACGGGGAGCAGGCCGGGCCAGAGGGCGGCGTATCCCTCTCCGGCGAGGCGGCCGCTGCGCTCGGGCTCGCGGACGTCGCGTCCTCGCTCGAGGCGGCTCTGTCGTCTCCGACGGCGGCCAGGAGCGGCGCGAGTCTCGCCGAGGCGCTCGCGCTCAACGAGTACTCCGCGCACGCGCGGGTGCAGGCGGCGGCGGCGGCGGCCGGCAAGAGCGAGCGCGACGTCGAGCGGGAGGGGCTGACGCGGCTGATCGGGCGGCAGGTGGAGCGGGGCGACCGTGGCGAGCCGCTCGTGCTGCACGCCTTTCCGTGGGGCGGCGAGGGGGTGCGGCTCGCTCCG